GCATTTCGATCTCTTGTGGAGCAATTTCAATATCTTGAAAATCTTGGCCTCATGTTTCAAATTCTGAGTCAATTTCCTCGTTCTCAGTATCATTACTACATAGTATTTTTGATGGGTTTCTCTTCGATGACGATTTTACTACTTGACAAATTTTGAGTGGCAATCCCCTGTCGTTAGCGTTTTAGTTGACAGAAAAATGAGCAAACTTGATTTTCATTTTAAACTTCGATAATCGAAAAGTATAACTTGGCGTTTTCTTTCAAGGTCTCCATATTTAACACAATCTATTTGGATTTTCCATGTGTTACAGTGATGTCGCACTGTTACAACTCGCCATCTATCTTCATTTTTATTTTCTTTTTTCATTTCGTTTTCTATTTCTTTCTCGCTGATACATCTAGTCTTCTCTTTTACTATCCATACATCTAGTCCCTGTTCTCTTTCTTTTCTTTTCTCTCTCTCTCTTCTTTTTTCTTTTTTTGTCGCTCACTATATATGTACGTGTTTTCCATTATTTAAAAACAGATAAAATAAAAAACGGTGTGCAAGTGTACGTATACACACACACATATACATACTTTTTTTTCGTTAAAGAAAAGAGAACGAACTTAGCGTTGATCCAAACGGACAACCGCTAACACCACGTTTCACACTGGGAATGCCTTCATCAAAATTCTTTTGGAGGCACCCACGCTGTTTATCTGAAAAATGTGTGTTCGGTTTACGTATGGGCAAAGTCCAACTTTGAAGAAGAGAATTCGTTTCAGGTGTGGGTGTCTTTGCATGATGAGGGCATCCACACGAATACCCAAACCCATATGCGCATCTCACACCCATACCCACACCCACCCAAGATTGGAAATGTAGGGAATCAGCTATGAATTATAATCAAAACTATTTTTAATGGTATTTCTTTATTATTTTTTTTTAGTAGAAAATCGTTTTTATAGTATTTTTTAATGGCGACAAATTAAATGTTCAGTATTTTTTTGTAAATGTTCAGTAAAATTTGTTCAGTATTATATACAAATTTTCAGTAAAGAAATCAAACTATCAGTATAAAATTTTATGTTCGGTAAATATTACGTTTGTTCAGTTAACTGATTGTTTGCTCAGTAAATTAATAAATTGCTCAGTATTAAAATTAAAATTTCAGTAATTAATTCAGTTTGCTGATTAAAAAATTCATTTAATCAGTAAAAACCAGTGTTATTATCAGTAATCACTTATTTTTTCTTATAAAAATATTTTGATTTAAACAGACGAGCGATTGTCCACATGGACTGATGACGATGTCATAATTCAACATACTATGTTACATGGTAACCCTCGATAATTGTATATATAAGTTCTATCACTTATCGATGCTATGTTTTTTTAACCTACTTTTTCTATCCTAGTATAGTGGTTCGATCTTTTACAGTTATATATAAAGAATGAATACATTGTATTCTCTCTTTGTTCTCAATGTAACAAAGGTGAAGAAGATTCTCGATATCGTCCGCTTGTTTGCTTCTTTGTCTATTCCTATATAAATAGCTCGTTTCTTCTAAATAAGTTGAATTTTGATTAACTATAATTGCTGTTGCTAATTTGATATTAAAATGGCAACGGCGCTGGAAATTGTTGAAGTACCAGCTTATGTTTCTGACGACGAGGTGGATACCAATGAAATTGTCGACAATGGAAATCAAAAACGTATGAAAAAGAGACAACGAAAGTGGGTAGAAGAAAAGGTGTTTAACAACACTGAAGAAGCTGAAGAGGTGGTGATCAAAGAAAATCAATGGAGTTATCATTATACAAATACAACAGCTGCAGGAAAAAAGAAATTTTTTAGATGTAATAAGGTCAAAGCTCGTGGTAAACAATGTGATGCTGGTATATATTTGTTATTTGATTCTACAAATGATAAGATTGTTTTATTTCGTGCCACATCAGATCATACTCATGATAGCATGCAAGAAAAACCTTCAAGAATACCAAATGAAGTAAAAACAATTATACAGGAATTATATGAATTGAAATTGAAACCGAAAGCAATAATCGAAGTACTTCATGAACGTGGAATAGCACTGCCAAGCATTAGCCAATTAAATAATTTTTTAAGAACCATTAAGAGTACAAAACTTGGTCCAACTTAAATTGGTCTTGGTGAAATTGAACAATGGTGTTTAGAATCAAGCCAATCAATTCCAGAATCAATTGATACTTCTTTTGTTGCATCATACCAAATTATTTATGATGATGATAGTGAAAATGACGATGTCGATGATGATGTTAATGAAAACAAGTTTCGGTTTTTTATTACAACAAAAAGACTTCTACAAATTGCTTCAAGATCAAAAAGAATTCATGCTGATGCAACATATAAATGGTTGTGGCAAGGATTCTCGGTTCTCATTGTCGGTACAACTGATCTTGATCGACATTTTCATGCATTTGGTATGTCTGTTTGTTCAAATGAAACAACACATGATTTCAGATTTTTATTTCGTGGTTTACAAGAAGGTATACAAAAG